TATATATATATAAAAGGTTAATTTACTTATATTAAAAATAAGAGTTCTTCCTCTTAACTATCACCTCAAAGAGAAGATTATGTTTCAATTATATCCATTTAAATGAAAAGAACACTACTAAATTATTTTCTACTATCCTAGTTTAATCCCAAATTCAAAGTGCAACAAATCATAAAATTTGATTGCTTATAAGCGAAAAAAAATTTTAAAAATGATGATTTTATTATTATTATTTTTCAATTTTAAAATAAAACAAATAAGTTCGAACAAGTTTTGATACTTCTCGACCAAATCTCCATCATCTGGAATGAATCTCAAGGTGTAACATAGATCTCGAGGCAATTTTTTTAATAAGAAATATTCAAACTTCTATAAAAACTAATCCAAAATTTTGATTGTAACAAATTTACATTCAAACTGTCCAACTCGAAAAGAAAAACCCAATGTTACCAAAATTCATCCAATCCAAGTCAAATCAAGCTCAGATCAAGTCATTAAAACACCCTTGAATGTTTTTCTGACATATTTAGAAGGTCAAGCGAATGTCGAATCTAGCAAGCTTATAGTCCAATCAAGCGTCTTGACAATACGAATCCAACGAGTCGAAGATTGCTCAATTCTGACATCGTTAATCCACTCAAATGTCCATCAAATGTCATGTGAACGAAGGAGGAATTCCGGACCGTTCGATCAAAGTGGTTCAAATTTCAACATTAACTGCACCCATAACGCTATAAATAGAGCCTCCCCCCTCTCATGAGAGGGGGCACTGGAGGCTTAAGAGAGACTTTAAAGCTTTTAAAAAGAACTGAAGTCCAACACCACTCGTGAACCGTCGATTGATATTCACCACCGCCGATTGTGATTGACCATTGCTGACTGTCGTCGACGTCTGTCGATCATCTTCGATCACCATCGATCATTTCTGTCAGTTGTCAATCGTCGTTAACAACTGTCAAAAACATCATCGACAACCACCGACCATCGTCGAGCACTACCGTCATCGTCAACCATCATCAACTGGAAGCTGTCAATCAGCGTTGTAACTTAAAAAACCTACTAACAATTTCCCGTCTGAAAGACAAGGGGTCTCTGTAATCATAAATCTACATTGGACTTTTACAACTGGGGCTAACCCCATGGCTTTTTCACTTTACAACAAGGGTCACTGTTGAATTCTCGTGCAACGCTAAGACGATAATTCATTACTCTATTATCGTGAATTTTCTAGCACACATCAAGTTTATAGGAAATATAAATTTTAAATAATATTATATCTAGCTATATGTATTAAAATAACTAATTTAACAAATTTCATTATTTTCAAAAAATAATTTCAATTCTCAAGAAAGCCAAATAAGCCCTTGAACAAAACAAGTCCCTATTTGATCGCGTGAAGCTAAATAACAAGTTCTGCTGATAATTGCAAGGCCTATTAAGTTGATCAGTTAAAAATTAATATGAATTCACTCGCCACAAATCCTTCTTAGGTCTTTTAAAAACTAATATCTGTTTTTAAAAATAAAATGGACGGAAAGTTATATTCACTTCTTAAAATGTATATTTTATATGTATATAACATTTCAATTTGAATTTTTACATTTATATTACTTTACCAATGTTGAATACATGTATTTCACTTCTTAAGAGTTAGTCATAGTTATATTTTTATATCATCATAAAAAAATTTTTAAGTTTATTAAAATTAAAATGTTGATGTAAGATACGTATATAGATAAGAATTGTGTGGTATGCCCCTCTTCTTTTTTCGTGTATACCCCCAGTATGTTTTGACCGTCAATTTCAAATTTTATGTTTAGAGATAAAACTCCTAGCCAAGTGAAACTGATCAGGTCAATTGGAACTGGTCAGGGCGACGAGAGCTAATCAAGAAGACTGGTCGCGTTCACTAGGTTCATTGGACAATCTCAATACCTTAAACTACAAAAGAATATTTTTGTCTTACCTCCGTAAATAAATGTTATTAATAGCCTCAAGATAATCCTTAAAATATAAAAAATGGCATGAAACTAACCTCATTGAGCAATTGTCACATAATATCAAGAAATCGCTTATCTATTATGATTATTATATCCATTTAAAGCTTAGTTAAATAGTGCTAGAAACCAATAAATAATTGCCACTTATTATTTCTGTAGAGTATAATAAGCATTTACATATGCTCTCATAGACCCAATATGTGCTTGAATAAATAACTCGTGAGATTATTCAAAGCCAAACAAGCTCTTGCAAATTACTTTTAACGATTTAAATATATTATAAAATATCAATGACAAGCTAAATGGTAGCTCAACAATCCATGTATTCCCAGTATGACTTGACATCACATATGACCTTTTATCTTAGTGCAAAGCATAGTAATTATAAATTAAATATGTTTACAATGCCATTATTAAATTGAAAAGGACTAATCTGATCATTTTACTTGGGACAATATCCCCCTCAAAATTATTATTAAGATAATTTGATGCACGGTCAAGGCACTGTGATTCATCTCTAAAGAAAAGTAACATATTAAATTAAGTGTGATGATGTTATTTGTCTGACATCCACAAATTATATAACAATAATCTAACATAATTAATGACAATCAAACATATAAGCAGTTAAAAAACAATAACTAGATTTTTTTTTTTTTTTTTTTTTTTTTTTTTTTTATCTTTAATTACAAGCCTCAATCTGTTCATTTGTTACAAGGATGGTGGAGCATGGTGTCTTAATTTTCTGTATTTACATACATGTAAGCCACATTGATTTGGTGGTTGAGAGCTTTATCTTCTTAAAAGTATTGGGTTCAAAGACTTGCATATGTGATGTGTGTGGGGGGGGGGGAATAAGAACTTTTATGTACTTAACAAATGCGATATAGTTGGTAAATGTGTTAATTACCTTTGCTTTTTGAGAATTAGCAGTAAATGGAGAGTTGATTAAATGTGACAAAGGTTGGTTTCATTCCTATTTATTAAAGTTCATCTCATATAATGGTAAGTTTGATTCGGCTTTAATGTTGATGTCAACGAGAAAATAAATGCAGGCAACCTCTGATATACGAACTATTTACTAAAAACATTACTTGGAAATTAAGATGTACTAAATTTCAATTACAAATGCTAATGCACAAAATATATACTTCTATATGCAACACTCGGGCCATGAATCCAATGATCTCCTTCAAAGATGAATTTAGCTATGGCATGAGATTTGATGAGGAGGGGAAAGGCAATCCGATTTGAATGAAAGTTGAATGAATCAAAGATGGTAGTTGTAAAGCTTGGCCGACCAAGATCAAATTGATCGTCGTCAACAAGTTTTGCTCCTCATTCTCATATCAGTGTCGGAGTTAAGTGATCTTAGACTTGTGAAGTATGGAGCCCGGTCCTCCCAACCCGACTCCCGCTCTCACTATGTCGCGACCAAGATTCCGCTCCCGCCCCTTGTTTTGAGAAGCTTCTCGCCTGCTCGTCGCGCCTCCCTGCTCAATCGCAAAACTGCTCCCTCCTCTGCCTGCTCCCGCACGTGAGAATCGAAGCTTCGTTTCGTCTGACGTCTCCTGCTTCCTGTTCTTGATAAAAGACATTGCGAGGTGGCTCTCCTTCAGTCGTACAGTCACGTTTTTGGTGTTATTCTTCGGACTTCCTTGAGATAGAGGAAGAGTTCTTCGGGCTTCCTCGGGATAGGGGAAGAGTTCTTCGGGCTTTCTCGGGATAGGGGAAGAGAAGTGCAAGCTGTAGTTCCTTCCGGCAAAAGGAAGAATAAAGAAGAAGAAAAAGATTGTTCTCCCTTGGCTTTTTCTTAGTGACTTCTAGCAGAAGAGAAATTAGGTTTATTTCTCTTGTAAGTTTATCTTCTTTGGTGTATCTCGGTGTATTGTTTCTTTGGTATATCTCGGTGTATTGTTTCTTCGGTGTATCTCGGTGTAGAGCGAGAAGAAGAAAGAATAACAAAGTGAGAGATTCATCTTGTAAGTCGAAATGATCAGCTGATGTAAATTCCTCAAGTAGTAAAATCTTCTGTAACACCGTGGACGTAGGAAATTTGTCGAACCACGTAAATCTGTATGTTCCGCTTTGTTATTGTTTTCTGGTGTGAATTTTTCTCGTTTTATTTTTCGCTTTGTCGATCGTTCTCTTGTTTAATTTATATATACCACAACAACCGGTATATATCTCGCAACAACTTGTATCAGAGCCAAGTTTTCGATCTGAGGAAGAATGATGGTTGCAGATGAAGTCGAGAAGTTTGATGTCACAGATTTTGGTTATTATATGATGCAGATAGAGGACTACCTCTATGGGAAGAAACTTCATCTTCCGTTATTGGGGAAAATACTTGAAAGGATGGATGGGGCTGAATGGAATTTGTTGGATCGACAATTTCAGGAGGTTATTCGATTGACCCTGTCGAGGTACAAGGCTAGACTTATTGAAAAAGACTTTCAGCAGAGGCAGGATATTGCCCATACAATGGGAACAATGGGAGTTGTAAGCATGTAAGCAGAGACAAGAGTAATCCAGGAAATAGCTTGGAGGTGCAAAGTTATGTTGACCCTGCTGATATGTTGACTAATTGTGTTACTCTTGAGAAACTGAAGTTGGGCACAACTTCAGCTGGTCTTTAAGTGTGAAGACAGAGGATTTGAGTTGCAGAGGTGGAGGATTCATGGTGGAGGATATCAGTTCAAGGAAGAAGATGTTGTAGCAGGTGTACCAGTCTCCATGTGAGAGATTTGTTAAGTATGGAGCCCGGTTTGCCCAACTGACTCCCGCTCTCGCTATGTAGCGACCACAATTCCGTTCCCACCCCTTGTTTCGTGAAGCTTCTCGCCCGATCTTCGATCCTCCCTGCTCAATCGCGAAACCGCTCCTGCCTCTGACTGCTCCCGCGCTCGCGAAGCGAAGCTTCGCTTTGTCCGACGTCTCCCGCTTCCTGTTCGTGATAAAAGCCATTGTAAGGTAGCTCTCCTTGAGTCGTGAAGTCACGTTTTTGGTGTTTTTCTTCGGGCTTCCTCGGGATAAAGGAAGAGTTCTTCTGGTTTTCTCGAGGTAGAGGAAGAGAAGTGCAAGCAGTAGTTCCTTGCGGCAGAAGGAATATGAAAGAAGAAGAAGAAGATTGTTCTCCCTTGGCTTCTTCTTGGTGGCTTCTGGCATAAGAGAAATTGAGTTTATTTCTTTTGTAAGTCTATCTTCTTCGATGTATCTTGGTGTAGAGTTTCTTTGGTGTATCTCAGTGTAGAGAGAGAAGAACGGGGAGAGAAGAAGAGAGAGCAACGAATTGAGAGATTCCTCTTGTAAGTCGAGGTGATCAACTTGTGTAAATTCCTCAAATAGTAAAATCCTCTGTAACTCTGTGGATGAAGATAATTTGTCGAACCATATAAATTTGTGTGTTCTGTTGTGTTACTGTTTTCTAGTGTGAATTTTTCTTGTTCTATTATTAGCTTCGTCGAGCGTTCTCCTATTTGATTTATATATACACCACAACAACTGGTATATATCTTGTAACAAGACTTGTTGAATTCTTCATATCAAGACACTCAATTTGATTATAAATTTTGTCCCTTTGGCCTTCCAACCAAGCACCAGATCCTTCAAAATTTGACTTTACAGCTTAGTATATACATGTGCTTGATTAGACTCAAATTTGATTATTTTTGATATCATTGTATTCGTCTTGTCTAGCTCGTCTTTTTCGTAGTAATTAAGTTTGAATACTATTGCCCAAAAAATTATATTGGAATACATGCTATGCATCAAAATTCGTGATACCAGATAATATGATGGCACATCATTTTTATTCTCAATAAATCTAAACTTACCACACAACATTCACATCATATATAGAAAACATCACGCAGAAACATCTCATCCTGCATCAGTTACCCATTATTGCAAATATGTTGATCATTTTAAATATATATAAAAGCATTTATCTTCCCACGAGCTAGCTGGCCAACAACTTTTGCGCTTCAGTCTCATACCGAAAACCTCCCTTGCTCTTAGACGTGTCCGCCGACCACACAAAGATCCCCGCAAGCTTCCCCTCCTTCTTCAATGTCCGACAAGCATCAAAGAAACCATTCGCCGGCGAAAGCCCGCTGCTTCCATCGCTAATGAAGCTCGCCAGCACCACCCCGCCGGCGAAGTTGGATCTCTGAGCCTCGTAGTAACTCAGGAACTGTGAAACAGTGGTGTCTGAGCTGTAGCCATAGAACTGGTAGTTAACGTAGTCGATTGCGCTGGAGTGGCTGGTCCATAGAGCCTGGTAATGTTCCTTCAGATCTGTGTCGTCGTATGGAGCTATGGAGACGAAGGATATCACGCCGTTGGATTTTAGGGTTGTGATCAGCCGGCCGATGCAGTCAGCGAAGGTGGCTGAGTCTGCCTGCCATAGTATGAAGCAAGTTTTAAGAGCCGTTTTAATTAGTGATTGTATGTAAAAAAATATGTTTTTTTTTTCTTTGTTGTTTCTGTTTCGATTTTGTAAAAATCTGTGAAAGAATTTCTAATATAAATTCATCTAAAGGAATGCAGAGATGATTATCAATTTGTTGATTTTATAGTATGTTTTAGGTTTATATTTGGACCATTAATTATCTTGAATAATAATCATGAGGATATAAAAAAAAAACTAAAAAAAAAAATAATAGAAGAATCTTACGATGTTCAATTAAAACTATTCTAGAATAAAAATATATCTCATTCTATGAAGTCACTTAGGGTTTGTTTGGGGCAGCTTGTGCATTTCAGAATAAGTTGTTTAACCTGAAACGCGGTCCGCGGGCCAACCGCAGGGGACGACTCGAGGTCTGCGTTTAGTATATAAACTCAAACGCTGTTTCAGATAAGCTGACGAAACGAGCGAACCAAACTGTACGGCGGCGTTTTGAAAACACCGCCCGCACTTATAAGCTGCCCCAAACGGACTCTTAGACATGATACACTATCAGCAAATTTCTATCATATGGTACAAATCTCGAGCTTTGACATGATTCTCGAGGCAATCTTTTGATCGAGAAAATTTCGAAACTTTATAATCGTCATACATAAATTCTTGCTTCTCCTATAGTGTTGATATATATATTGGATATACAGAAAATTAAGAGAATAGTCACTTATCATTTGCTTCAAGTTGGTACTTATTTTCTTACAAGTATCATTAATTTTAATCATACTTTAATTATTATCCCTCAATGTATCTAAATCAGTGCACACATAAATTAAAAATAAGAGTCAATTTTAAATAAATTATTCACTAACAATATTATTTTTATTATATTAAACTTGTGAAATTATAATAATTAAATTATATTATCTAATATCTCAACTGCGCATTAAAATAACACGATACAAAAGAAAAAAACACCATAAAATTAAAAAAAATCAATTTTATAAAAAAAAATCTCAATTTTTCCTTCATATATTAATAAATGATTTTGAAAACATGCCTGAAAATTCTCATAGTCGATGTCGATGCCATCAAGATGGTATTCCTGGATGATCTTCGTCAGAGAAGAAACAGCGTTGGATACCCACGAGTCAGCTGAGCTTGGGCTAAAGAACACCGTCTCGCCGGAGACCGTAGCTCCGCCGAGGCTGACGGCTACTCTAACGTTCGAATGAGCCCGCTTGATGGCGGAGACGTCCGCAGGGGAGAGATTAATAGTATCCCAAAACACACTGAAATCTCCGTTTGTTGGAGAGGGAGGAGATGTGTTGGTGGTGTAGTCTATAGCGAAGGCGAGGATGAAGTGGAAGTCAACGCCGGAGTTTATGGGGACGTCGGAGAACTTGACGTCTTTGAACTGCGCTCCGATGTACTCGGAGAAGTGGTTGGAATTTTGGGCTCCGGAGAGAGGACAGAGGAGGAGGAGGAGGAGGAGGAGTTCATGATGAGTTGAAGAGAAGCTCATGGTGTCTCTGAGTTGAATGACAAGCTATAGGGATAATATACATGTAGGCCTATCAGCTTGCGCTAGTCAGTGATCCTACGAATCGATTCAACAATGAACACCCGATTGCCACCCAGATACCATAGACGATCAAGGATTCCCTTGGGACATCATCGAGTCTCAACATTTTTAAATAATTATACTATGGGTATTTTTCTTAAATAAATTTAAATTAGGAAATAATAAACCTTCATTTAATCCATGTAAATCAATCTATTTTTTAGCAATTAGACATGTATTTGGGGTCGGGATCAGTTTATGTTTAAGATGAATAATTATTTGCCTTTAAAATAAAAAAAAAATTTAATAATTGTTTGCTTATAGATCAAAATTTGATTAAGAAATTTGGATTCCACTCTACGTGCTATTGAAACATTAATGTCGGACTATACAGAGGCAAGTCATTAGACCGGAGACTTTGATTTTTCAAAATATGAAACGCAGGCTGAAAGAGAGGTAATGCTGTTCGGATAAGTTTGCCCTTTTGACTTTAGACTTTTCTTTGATTACTTTGCGTGTAGAGGCTTGGAAACTTTTGATGCTTTGAAAAAACTCTGATTAAACATATTAATTAATTATAGCATTAGATAAATGGTCTGATAAATATGAATATTTCATAATAAATATTTCTATACAATGTTTGTTGTTGAGAAATTAGGGCGAATAAAAATATGAATCGACACAAATTCAGAAGAGCACAAAGATTTAACGAGGTTCGGCAAAGATGCATACGTCCTCGAGAGCAGAGCGGCGAATACCTTTCAATATTCAAAAAAGAGATTACATAATTTGGGATACCTCCTGGGGTTACAGACAAACCTATTTATAACCTCAGGAGTAAACCCTAAGTACAATATGTAATTACTACATTACAATTATACTGTACCAAGGGGCTTTGCCCCCGCACCCTCAACCCACATAACGTAACTTTTCAATTCGGACAGATTATTCCGTTTCGTTCTGCTCCGTTTCGATCCAGCGTCTGTCCCTACATAATGTAGGAGTCATATCATAACATTTGTAAATTACGATTATTCTCCTAAGTATTAGAAAAAAATCTCCAAATTTGGTGGCAAATAAATGATTTTTCTATCACGCATTTAGTACTATTCGTGTGGGTGTGGATGTGTGAAGCAATGGTAGAATTCATGCCATTTTTGTGAAGAAGATGATGAAGAATGGAGAGTTCTCTCCAACTAAAAGACAGAGATTTTTGAAACGTACTATAATGCCTAATTTCTAACATAATTATAACTAAATATCAAATTTTAGCCTTGATCAAAAGGAATAAATGCACCGAAATGATTGACTTGGCTGTTCCATCCACCAACGCAAGAGATGCGATTAAAAAATAATTCATCTAAGAGAATAATGAAAGAAACAAAACAATATTCAAGACTAGGGAAGAAGTACCCAACAACTAACATCATTAGCCTACCCAAATGCGGGTTCCATACTATGGAACGAAACGTGTATTTTTGGGGCAATTACATACAGACCATCCAAAACTTGCAATTTAGATATTAATCATCCTTTTTCATTCGTTTTTTAAATTCTTACTCAAAAATTAAAGTTCATGGTAAGACCCTAACCCAAATTTTTCATTTTTTTCAAATTCTCAGCGGATTGATTGTGAAATGTTTAAATGCGTTGACTTCACAATTCAAAAAAAAAAGAAAAAAAAAAAAGAAAACTGTTGTGGTATATTGAAATAGAAAACGATCGGCGACGAAGTGAAAAATAGAACAAGAAAATTCACACCAGAAAAGAACACACAGATTTACGTGATTCGGCAAATTGCATGCATCCACGGAGTTGCAAAGGATTTTACTAATTGAGAAATTTATACCAGTCGATCCATTCGACAATTATAAGAGAAAGTCTCTCACTCTATCTTCTTATCTCTCTACATCGAGATAAGTTGAAGATGAAAACAAAAATGGAGAGAAGAAGCCCTTGCTATTATTTTCTTTATCCTCACTGAAAAAGCCGAAAAAATATTACCTCAGGAGTACTGATGCATCAGTACTCCAATGAGGGGGTGCCACGCAGGCACCACAGTGGGACCATTGTCTACGTGACACCCCCTCATTGGAGTACTGATGCATCAGTACTCCTGCGGGAATATTTTTTTTTAAAAAAAAAGCCAAGGGAGCCAGTAATGCTTTCCTCCTTCCCTTCTTCTTCTTCTGTTGTAGCCATTTTTCTTTTTCCTAAAACCAACCACTTAGGGAATCGTGAAGTAATATATTAAGAATGGCTACAAGACACTCCTCTTCAAAATCAATTTTTTTGCACTTAAAATGGTGGCGGGACCTTATTTAATTTTAATTGATTACAAATCCTGGTGGCCTCCTATTCAATTATCTTATATATATATATATATATGTTGAGATAGAGCACGAACGAATAAAATTTTGTTTGTGCTCAGTTCGTTTATATATGGAGCGCAAAGAAAATTATTCTTTTTTAGCTTGTTTGCTTGGCGAAATAATCTAACACAGGCTATTTAACATATCAAATATGGGTTATTTGTGAATAATGAGCTGTTCATCTATATAAAAAATTAAAATAAGAAAAGCTAAAAAAAGAAACTGTCCCTAGAACATAAAAGCGCACCGGAGAGCTCATAGGATCAATGAGATTCCTCCATCAAAGGCTAGCATAAAAGCCAGAACGGACGAACTTATTTGTCTATTCGTCCCTGGTGGTAGCAGCTATTCTGCTAAAAATGCCAATAAAACAATGAGTGGATCTACACCAAACCAAACCCCAACAATATGAAGGAGCCTAAAATAAATAATCGCTTGAGCTCGTTATTTATGTTGTGAAATTTATGTCTTCAAAATATTTATGTCTATAAAATGTCCCAAAAGGACCAAAAAAAACAACCGTTAAAATATGGACAGGTATTAGACGTGATGGCGATATTTTCCTCGATGGAATGAGAAATTTTGTGTGACGATCCCACCACATAAAATGCAAGATGATGTGGCTGGAACATCACCATTATCTGACTTGTGCTTAGGGTTGTAGACAAGCTTCGGTTGAGTGCGCTCGGGAGGATATTCATGTTCTTCTCGATTTAAATATTCTTCTTCGTGTTCGGCTGGTGTTTGGTTCAAAATGAGCTCATTAAAGTTAATTGGAAAAAATAGATATTGAGCGTTGAATTCAAAACTACACCAACCTTGTGCAATAGAAGGTGCAAAACTAAATAATCACACGAGCCTTTATGATTTAAACTTAAATATAAATATATATATTAATATATTTTTTATATAAATAATATATATAATATATTATTATGTAAATAATTTATATTATTTCTTTAGTTAGAGCTAAAATTAGTAGAAAACGAGTGAACAAAGAGTTGTTCTTATTCGGCTTGTTTACTTAACTAGCAAGCCAAACATGAGCTTATATAACAAGCCAAAAGCGAGCTGTTTGCAAACAATAAACTTTTTTAACAACCCTACATGAGGTTCAATGAATCATAATTTTTTGAAGTTAACCGCTTTGGGAGCAAGGGGAGCATCAAGCATGCATCAATGAATGGTCAAGATGGGCGGCACAATACAATCAGGTTATGGAAGGCTGCAGCATTACCATGGAGCTATTTGATAGCCTAATGTATGACATTTATCAACGTGATTACATTTTGTTTAATAGATTTTTTTCTATGTTTAGTTGTCCAATAATTAAATAGTTAACGATCAATTTAGACATTAATATATATTTGTTAATTCTTGGGAGTCTGATTTCTGACTGTTATTTATTAGAAGATAAATGTATTCTTCGTTGTTATGGATATTATCATTGCTACATATTGTTAAATCTCTAGTTAACTTGTAGGATTGCCAGTTTTAGCTTTCTTTAATTACTCATAATGTCAATTAATTTGCCCTGATTTATAGTTTTTACATTTTTAATTATGTTTAATTTTCCTGCTCTCACATAGTTCCAGCTTATTGCAATCAATTTTTCTCATGTTATATACATGCTCGAACTATTTAGATTATTTATCAAATTAGTTAGATAATATTCATGAAATAATTTAAATTTTGTATATTTGTATTGAGTGGTAAGGTGAGTGGAACCCTTTTGAAAGTTAATTAATTTTATTAGTTTAATTAGGATTAATTATTTTTTAAATATGATTAATAATATTCAATGAAATAATTAGATACAAAAACATTAATAGAAAAATAAATTAATTAAAAATATCTAAATAAGTAAAAGACTATAAAAAGTAGTAGTTTAAATAGCAAGATAAGTCACAAATTAATTATTTATTAGATTTTTTTTTCTTGCATTGATTATGATTTAACCTCCTTTAATTCAAAATTAAAATATTAAATAGATAAAATAGGATATCACATTCATGAAATTATAATGAAATTCTATTCAAGCAAATAAATTTAAATCCTTAAAATAAAAAAAACTAAATAATACGATAAAATTTAATTTCTGACATATCAAATCGATTTAGAATTTCACATCTTCGAATCGATTTAGAATTCTGCAATAATAATTAATAATTCTTAAAAATTTATTCTCATTCCAAGCTCACGAAAACTCAAAAAATATTATATCAGGACTTCACACGTAAAGTTACATGAAAAATCCAATGAAATTATGCCACATATAGGGGATAGAAAAAAAAATCGATCTGATAACACAGAGAATATTCCCCAGCATTATTCCAAGTTATTACAAAGAAAAAAAATTACATAAATATTCATAAATTTATGCAGAAAATTCTACCGACCAATGTGTCCCACATTAGCTCGCAAGCAAGCTTTGTGCCTGAGTCTCATACTGAAATCCGTTGCTCTTGGATGTATCTGCCGTCCACACAAAGATCCCGGAGAGCTTCCCCTCCCCCTTCAACGTATTGCAGGCATCAAAGAAGCCGTTCGCCGGCGAAAGCCCGCCGCTGCCCTCGGTGGAGAAGCTCACCAATACCTGCCCGCCGGCATAGTTTGATTTCTGAATATCGTAGTAACTCAAGAATTGTGAGACTGTTGTGCCGGAGCTGTAGGCGTAGAATTGGAAGTTAACGAAGTCAATAACGCCGGCGTAGCTCGCCCACAGAGCTTGGTAATGTCCCTGCACGTCGCTGTTATCGAATGGCGCTATGGAGGCGAAAGATATCACGTTGTTGTTTTTTAGTGTTGTGATCAGCCGGCCGATGCAATCGGCGAAGGTGGGGGAGTCTGCCTGCGATAGTTATAAAAATGGCTCCATTAGTAGTTGGACATAGAGCCTAAAATTGTGATTTTTAACAAATTTAAATTAACAATTTACATGGCCTAAAATTCATATAAAAATGATTTCTTCAAAGTCCTCCCACTCTAATTCATAGGCATGCCTCAAAGGAGATTCAACATTTATAATGTTGCCCCATGAAATCTGAAAAGTCTTATTAATTATAAGGCTAATTAGAACATGCCTGAAAGCTCTCGTAGTCAATGTCGAGGCCATCAAGGTTGTATTGCTGGATGATGGTGGTGAGTGAAGCAACGGCGTTGGCCACCCATGAGTCAGCTGAGCTCGGGTTGAAGAACACCGTCTGGCCGGAGACGGTAGCCCCCCCAATGCTGACGGCAACTTTGACGTTCGGGTTGGCCTGCTTTATGGCCGAAACATCCGCGGGGGAAAGATTACCGGAGTCCCAATACACGCTGAACTCTCCGTTTGTGGGAGAAGGTGGAGATGTGGATGTGGTGTAGTCTATGGCGAAGGAGAGTATGAAGTGGAAGTCAACGCCGGAGTTTATAGGAACGTCGGAGAACTTCACGCCGGTGAACTCTGCTCCGATGTACTCCGCAAAGTGGTTGGAGTTTTGGGCTCCGGTGAGAGGAGAGAGGAGGAGGAGGAGGAGGAGGGATGAGAGGGGAGCCGATGAGGAGGAGTTCATGGTGGCTTGTTTTGGATGGCAAAGCTCTGAGCTTTAGATTTATAATGGTATGGCGGGCAGTCTCTTGTTCTGTTTGTCAGTTGACTGACTTTTGTTCAAGACTAGTAAGACTTGGCGTGCAAAGGTTTTGTTCAAATTTGCTGCTTCCTAGAACTAAAGGGGTAATTACAGACCAACCGTCAAATTCTTAAGTATTTATATATCTAACATTTAAACTTCACATAATAAATATCATTATTTTAATTTTTAAAAACGTGAAATGCATTCTTTTTTTCATAAATAATGTGACATGTGTGTTAAAATGCAAATTTTGCTAATAGATATGTAAATACATAACAATTGAGAGATATGCAAGCAAAACTTCTAAAACTAAATTAAAACATATTCTTATTAAATTCTTAATATATCAAAATTAAAATGAAATTAAAAAAAAACTAAAAAGTTATATTTTGCAGTCTAAATTAGGCTTTTTTTAACTCATAATAATAATTAAAGAAAAGTTGCGCGGGAGCTTTTCTGCAACTAATTGTTCATTAAATAAAATTTTTGCTCATTATTGACTGAATAATTATTAAATTAAAATTTTCATTATAGTTATTATTACTTTAATTTTGTTTTTAAAATAATAGAGATAATTATCTTCTTTAATGTAATTAGTAAAAGTGAAAATGAACACAAACGAATGTTTTTCCGCGTGAATGAAAGGAGGAACTGAGATCTTCTTCACAAGAAAGCGACGTTTGTGAATGGTTGAACAAGTCTTGACACATGTACCATAATTTTTAATCAAGCCAATATTGATGTAAAATATTTGCTTAAATTATTCTAATTAAGAATGATACGTCAGTAACAAATTTTTACCATCCGACACGAATCTCGATGCAATCTTTTGAACAAGAAACATTTAAACTTCAATTAAAAGTCATATAGTGCTCCGATTTCAGCAAACTTATGGTCAAACTAACTGGCTCGATGAGACAGACGCAATGATATAAAAACTAGTTCATTCTGAGTCAAATCAAGCTCAGATCAAGTCATTAAACACTATTACAAGGTTTTCGAATATATTTGGAAGGTCAAACAAATGTCGACACTAGCAAGCTTATACTCGAATTGAGTGTCTCGACAACACAAATTCAACGAACCTAAGATCAATCAATTTCGATATCGTTAAGGCACTCAAATGTCCATTAAACGCCGTTTGTTCGAGGGAAACTCTCTGGACCGTCCGATCAAAATTATTAATATTCATACATTAATTGCACACATAACACTATAAATAAACCCCCACCTCTCACATGAGAGGTGGAAAGTGTAGAGAGAAAGTCTGAGGCATTGAGCAGAAACTGCAACTCAACATCACCGCAGACCTTTGTCGTCGACCATCGCTAACCACCGTCGATCACCACCAACCAGACGTCGTCAGTCGACGTTGTAATCTGAAAAATATAGTTACACTTTTCCGTCTATGGGACAAGAGATTTCTGTAATCATCAATCAATAGTAGATTTCCGCAACTGGGTCAGACTACGTGGTTTTCCCTAACGGGTTTTTCACGTAAGAACTTCTGGAGTTATCACCGCTTGTTTCTCCTTCATTTGTCTTTGTGTGTTGAACTTTCGCACAATGCTAAGACGATAACCCGTTACTCTACCGCAGTGAATTTTCTATCACGCTTCAAAGAGTATATATTATAATTTTCTTAACAAAATGTAATAATTTTTTTTATGCAGAAAGTTCTCTACAATGGATAATATTTGCGTACATAAGACGTACGCAGTGCTGCGTACATCAGAGGTTATTCAGGGGTTACAGAGGAGTTATATCCGGGTTATACCCTCCTGTAACTTCCGTGTAACTCCCTTGTAACCTCCGTGTAACTTATTTGTACCCATGAAATTACAGAAGCGCGAAACTCATTTGTAGTTTACAGGTTTACAGGTAGTTTACAAAGAGGTAAGAGGTTACAGGGGGGTTACAGAGGAGTATAACTCCGATATAACCCCTTTGTGCCCCCTGAATAACCCCTGGATGTATCCACCGCTGCGTACGTCTTATGTACGCAAATATTTTCCCTCTACGATAGCGTAAACGTGAAGGGCTTCCATGCACTTGAGTTACCTGGTCGACTGTCCTGCTTGCTCAAGAAGCTCGAGCTAGTGTCTGTGATTATTTGAGCGCAAGAAGCGGTTCATCATTAAACAACCTAAATATGGGAGCATTGAGGAGGCGAGAATTACAGAATAGTAGAACCTAGCACCACCAGCACTTGCTGATCTCCCATTCAATGGCGTTAAGTGTCACTACGGATGCATTTATGCAAATGATAGTTTTAGTTACTTGTTTGATTCAGGGTTCTCAAACCAAAGCCAGTGGTAGAGGGACAATGCTTTTGAATGTAAGTATTTAAAGTTCTTTTAGGTTATAAGATCACCTCTTTTTTTATGAGCGGGAGGGCTAATATATACTGAGAAATAGCTGTTGGATCAAAAACATGTATTGTCCACCAGACAGGAGGGTTATATTAGGCCTTTTTTTTAGGGAGAAGTAGAGAGTTGGTGGCAAGGACAATTACAGGTTGGTTTAGTGGATGAACTAGTAGCTTGATTTAGTGGGACAATTTTTTGAAGAGTTGTTGAGTGAGGTTTGTTCTTCTCTTAGCAGAAGGTAGATATAAGACGAACTCATTAGCCTTATGCAAGATGACCACTCTATCTTGTAGTATGAGGCAGAGTTCACAATGCTTTCCAGTTAAGCACCAAGTGTTAATCCACAATGCAAAAGAAAAATATCAAATCGTTTTATCTGGGCTAAATGATATGATCATACAACTTTTAATCTTTTTAGGCAATAAGAATTACTCGGTCTTGGTGGAGAGAGCAAGCAGGGCAGAGATTAAAGCGACGCCTATGCAAAGGCATAGAAATGAGGGGATGAGAGGTTCAGGTCTGGGCAAGCCGCTCATTCTATTCATTTTGGGCAATTCAGTTGGAAGATGCATAAATCCAACAGTAATGATAATGGCAGCGGCAGTAGTGTTATGATTTGTGCAAAGTATGAAAAAAATGTATAGAGGAGAATTTCTATCAGGTACCTACACTTATTTTTGGTGTCATCAACCATGACATATGACAAAATCCAACCCTAATTTGGACTAGAGACCTTATGTATATGCTAGAGCAAGTGCTCTACCAGCTTAGAGAAGTTTTGTCACATAACGATCGATCGAGTCAACAGGAACAACTCCAACTAAGAGTCAAACCAGCCAAGATGTGCAACCTCAGGTATATATGCACTGACTCAGGAAATAAAAGATTCACTGACATCATTACATATACTTTTTTTACTTCAATAGATCAATCAAATCATTACTTTATACTATACTTTTATATTTTCTTATTATAGGTATTATTGCTATCCAAAATAAATTAGTCAGCTCTTTATTTAATATTGTGGCATTATAACCTTTTATCTTAGAAAAATTTGTCAAAACAGAGGGATTAGATTCATTAGAGATTGGACACATAAATAATTATGATAAATTTAATTTAATGTCTAGCATTAACTTTATGTTTGGATCAACTGAGAACTTTCGATTAAGTTGCCTCTTGAAATATGTATATTTATAGCATATTGATGTTATAGTTAACAATCTTATTTAATGTCACTGAATCTAAGGTCATGATATTACAATTTAACTTTATTTATTCAGGAGAGATCAAAGTTTTACCTTCATGTTGTATTTGGACAGGCAAACACCGTAAAGCTTCCACTAAGGTAAGGTAGTGGATGTTTTCATTCTATTTTCTTTGTTCATAAATATCTTACAAAATATTTAATGTTTAGATTTGCAGAAGTGGCATTGGATTTCATGGTATACATCAGTGATTACTTTCATGTAATTCAAAATTTGCAGATATTTAGTTGGAAGTGAAGAACGAAGACAAAAAAAAATATGAATATGGTTTTTACTATTAGTCCTCAAATTCATTCATACTTTAAATAGACACAATAGAATGACATGGCGAGTTTGTTCATCACATTGAAGAGTATATATGAACCAGTAAAGAAGAACATTTCATTATCCAGCAGTCAACATTGCAGAAAGCTGAGGTTAAGAACCATTATGAAAACCGTGAGATGGACATTGATAACAGACATTATACCTGTAGATATTGGCAAATGACCATGTTGTCTAGCATTCGTGCTGTTCTCTTCATCCAAAGTATGCATATCTACATCGATGATCATCATCATGTTAATATGTATGTCCTGACAACCCTTTTTCTTAAATTTATGCTTATAAGATGTTACTAAACTCTTGATTATTATAGATACAAAATTGTGTATGAATGAGCATAGCAACCCTTCGAGGAAAAGAGCAACAACAAATAGTGAATGATGGAATAAATATTGGCATACTTGAAACTTTGAGGCTATGTGGAAGATAAAAAAAGAAGATATTCAAATTTTTTTTAGAGGAAAATAGCTAAAAGACAAAGAGCGTTCATAAATGTAGTAGGTGCAACATTTGGGGAAACCATTAATAAAATCCTCTTAACTCAACTTTTGCGATGACATCTAAAGAAAAAAACAAGGAACGCATTATTCTATGAGCACAAATGTTGAAGCAGAAATCCAAACTAAATTACCGATTAGAAGTAAATAAAGGAGAACTACATGAAATCAATCTTTTGTTGATAAAAGCATATCATTTAATTGTTTCTGAGCCAACCATGTTATCAAGATGTTGTCAACAAGTTCTTCATTTTGTTCCCCAGAAAAGTATTTATATAGAAATTTTTTTACCTTAATAATCATTTACTGTATGTAGTTTTGATCTTCTCCAAAAGAGTGTTTGTTAACATGGAAACATAGAAATAAATTTGAACTTTTGAATGTGATTCTAAGAATGGAATGAAGAAATCCATGGTAGAATTTTTCGCTGAGATAAAAAGGACTGTCGAGATTCTGATTGTAATATTCAGCTTTGTTTATGGAAGATTATTATACGATCTGTAATGACCTTAAGATTGACCGTTCTTAAACAGATTCTGATGAGCATACCAATTCGCAAAGTTGCATGTGTTTTTTATTTTCTTTTTTGTATTAATATAAGCAAAACATTCATTGCTTT